GTATATTTATATATAAATGGATATAATCAATTGCGAAACTTCTAACTCGTTAATTGTCGTTCCTTACACATACACTAGGCTACATCCTAGCTTCTATCGAAGGCCGGGTTGCTGTCGAGTTCCTCGATGTGCGTCCAGAGGTCCAGGCCAGGAAATACGCGTTCAAGTGTCACAGGTACGCAATGGTGGGTTTGGTTGGGTCGAGTACGTCAGTGGATGTGGTAGTACACCGTTGTGATCGGGCGGTTTTCTTTTCCCGTGTTTGTGTCGCTGTGAGAGTGTGCTTTGGCGCTGGTGGGTCGTGCAGACTGTGTACTGCCTTGGTTTGTGTTTGGTTCTTCGGGAATGTTTACCGCTCTCGCTTGCCGACGTGCGTGTGTGGGTCTTCAGTGCAGTTTGTACCTGGTCGTCGTCTTGGCTTGCGAAGTACTATGACCGTATTGTATTGGCTGCTTCCGTATATTGTGTACGAGTATACTTATATATTTTCATGCTTGTGTATGTATTTTTTGTGCTCTCACGTTTGATACTTTCTATGAATCAGCTGTCCCTTCTCTCCACGTTCGATATGGCTACTGGTATCATGCCTCATATTGATCTCCACGCGGATGGTACGATCTGTTGAATTGATTGACATTAACACATATATGGTTGGAAAAAGAAGTTACATGCTTTGGGTGTATTGATGTACACAACGGCAACCTGGTGCAAATTGGGGAACGCTCTGAAGCCAATGCAACACGTTTCTTAGTGCATATGTGGAGGTTGAGGTTGAGGTCTCTTACTATCGCAGTAAGCTGCAGCACGTGCATATTTACAGTGGCTTATCATTAAAGTTAGTACGAGTGATAGGAATTGCCATTGGCCTGCTTTCATGGGGAACAAAAGCTACATCAGCGCGCGAGTATCTTTTGTCATGCAAATGCCTCCTATGCTTTATTTGAATGGGAACATCTGATGCTGTTCGAATGCATCCTATTCGTTTTCGCAAGATCAGAGTACACCTGCCTATGCTTCTGAATAGCCGGAAGTGGGATAGTTATTTGTGTGCTGATATGCTATAGATAGCAATTTTCTATAAAGTCTATAACCTTTCCCACCTACGGATTTGTGCCCATTATTTCAATAGTTGTAAACTCCTATGTATCTCCACGGCTGCCTTTGTCTACACCCTAAATTGCATCCGAATGGACATCCAATTGCAAATAGATTGGCATACACGCACATATACACAACAACAGTCAAACATAATGGTTAGATGGGAATCGTTGTGATACTCGGGTCGTTCATGCTCCTCTGGTGCTTTATTTTTTGCCGTTACTTCTTAACCATCGCAGCCCCACATGCCCCACTCTAGCTAGTGCCGTCCATCACTGGTACGTATTCCTTCGCAGGTGTGAAAATAAGCGTTTCGTGCGTCTCTTAGTCTCACTCACTCGTTGCCTACAGAATAAAGAATCCGGATGGCAAACCAGAGTCAACGTATCCGGTCAATGCCGTGGCGTACCACCCCAAATATGGGACATTCGCAACAGGAGGCTCGGATGGGTTTGTGAATGTGTGGGATGGCGATAACAAGAAGCGCATCTGTCAACTGCGAAGGTGTGTACTGTCACAAACATGAGGTTTTCCTTTTATATATTCAGAGATATGCCTTAGTTCCTCGTGGATATGCATGCTTATGCAATGGAATGAGGGTATTGAAGCTCATGACAAAACTTGTGTGATGATTTTTGCAAGTGGAGTATATTAGTCACGGGCGCATCTGCGTACCTATATGGATAACAAGAGTTGACGTACCTCGACGCATGGGCCTCAGAGAGGTTTCTGTAAACACGCATGTGTTTGGTTCTATGTACGTAAGTGTAGATGGGTATGTTTGTGAGTGAGGTATTGTTATTTGGGAGCTCTGAGTGGTTTGTGATTCTGTGGGATGGGGTCAACATAAAGCGAATATGTACATCCACGCATATGGGCTTGCATGATGTGTTTGGTACATGCCCCTATTCGCACATGTAGAGTCTACCGCGCTGGATCTGCAATCATGGATGCATACGTGCACATGGTTGGCGTCCACAGGGGTTAGGATGTGCGAGAGGATGTTATTCACGGCCACAGAATTGTCGGAAGTGTTATTATCAAAGTCGCATACGTTCACGCTCGAACACAATCAAAACTTGACGTCGCTCACGGTGTCCCAGGCGACCAAATAACCGTGATGCAGCGACACTGCAATGACTATTTGCTCATATGCACTAGAAACATGTCGGTTGACGTAAATGATGGCTATCGTTGATATAAAGTTGGTGGATATCAGAAAATCCGTATCGATATGTCCCAAACTTGTAGCTTTTGAACGGCAAATAATCAAAACCAAAGCTGTCTACTCAAATATCTCACCTCAACACAATTTGCCACAGATATAAAACAAGCATCGCGGCCTTGTCATTTAACTGCACTGGCGACACTCTTGCGATCGCTAGATCATACACTTACGAAAGCGGGCCTAGAGAGTAAGTTGTTCGTGTGAGATTTATTTTATTTTAGATGATTATATACCGATGCTACAAAAGTGTGTGAGAGTATTTTTGTCACAGTATGTAACTACACTGTCAGAATGTGGAACCCTCGACAAAGTCAATACATTGGCAATTCGATGCGTTCGCGTTCATTTGTTCACTGTAACATTATTATATTGGTATATTGGCATGCACTGGTGTCCGCAAGATTGACAGTGGGTGAATCGTGTGTGTATGTATGTAGGTGTGCAATTTGAAGCGCATGAACGAGTCCACATGGTGGGCTGCGGAAGTTGAGAATATTTATAAGTCTCGGATGTTGCACTGTCACCCCTATTGTCCACTCTAGACGAATTTTAAGATTCTTTTTGGCCATAAATAGGATAAAATAGTAGTGTTCAAACGATGGCAAGCTTGTTTTTGAACTGATTTAAATTCTCATCCAAATTCAGGCACCCGCCCGACGCAATCTTCATCCGTACCATAACGGACGCCGAGGCCAAGCCAAAATAAATATATTGAGGGAAAGACCCTCTAAAAATAAAAGTGAGTGCGTCAATAGTATAATCATAGTATTGTAGCATAATAACGGCGTTGCATCCGACGATAATTTGTATGAACGGGTCATTTGGATCACTAGTGTTACAACACGTACGTGCTCGTGTATAGCTATTCGAATTGTACTGTGAAAATCGCCCATTAGTAATAGTGAACTTCTGCCTCTCTCCGTATGGAGTATGAAATCGACGGCAATGTACACACAAATTGTATTTATCGCGTTGTTGCTTGTGTATGAAAGTATCATATAGTGGTCACCTATACCAAGTTTGAATATGAAGTAGAGAGAAGTATAAGTATGAAATATAATTTTATTGCGTTATTGAACTATTTTGAGCCATCATTAACCAAGATCTATGGTTGATTCAGCCGCGCAAGCGTTGTTTTTCCTTCGGTACACAATTGTCATGCCACCGATGCCTCCAACCAGCCCAACTATCAATGCAGCTACGGCAACACCTACTACAGCACCCACACTCAGACCTTGGTCCAGACACGATTGTTCTCCGCAGCTGGATTCAGCTGTAGATGTCTGTGCCACTGATGTTTGTATCAAACTGGCAGGGTATGTCTTCTGTGGTTTGGGCTTGTAGAAGTTTCTAGGAGTCATCACATTCTAAGTTGCGTCTTCATCGGTGGATATGCAACTAGCAAACTTCTTGAGTGTATCAACATCACCAGTCACACTGACTAGCGAAGAGTTTCCGGTGACCAGAGTAGCGATGAGATCCGATCTGATTTTGTCTGTGAAACTGGCCGTAGACCCAGGGCGCGCATTCATGTCGGTGATAGGCAGCGACAGCATGACCGCATTCGAGATACGAACGTTGAACATCTCGTTGGTTTCTTCAACACCGACCAGGATCGATAATCCGTGCGCTTTGTTGGCTTGCTCGGGGTTGATTCGAATCTCCAGACCCTGGAGAAGCATGTACAATGGCATATTCAAGACAAACGATGGTCCAAGGTCAGCGGGTGGGTAAGCCCCTTTTACATGTCGTAACGCAATGGTGGCGTCGGAAACGATAGCTACATTTTCGCCGCTTGTATTCATTATTCTTGTTGTGTTTGGGGCGACAACAAATCTACGGTCAACCTCCTCGTACATTGTGCAGTCGCTGAAGTTGAGGTTCTTGACAGACTCTTGCAATCTCGGCCTTTGTGAAATCGCTGGCTGGCTTGTAGGAAGCATCTAGCGATGCATAAGAACCAGTTGCTACTGCGGCTGCGATTGTATATCTAAGCATTGCTATTCGGATATGCGAGTGGGCTTTAGAACTCGTATGTTGATGTATAACAAACAACTTATAAATACACTTATACATACATACATATATATATCTAAATAAACGTATACTTCTGTGCGTACATATTTTAATGGATATGCATCTCTATATATATGGTATTTGATGTGTGTATAATTGGACTACATATTCCCCCATGAACCCTTGTAGTATATACAGTTCCCACACATCCCCCGGGTCAGATACGCAGATAAGGCTATTCTACTCGTTGCAGTATATGCCATCCATTAATCCGCATTTCAAATATATTGTGAAGATACACCTATAAGCGGGCAACTCATGCGTACCTCATTACTTTTTATATATACATATGTACAATATGTTGACTGTACTCGTATAACGAAATACTTCACTACCCACTAAGATGCGAGCTTCCTTTTAAGTTCCTGCTTAAGGTCGGCGACTCTTTCTTCGGATTCTTTCTTCATCTGCATTAGTCTTGTCGCCCCGATTTGCTTGTAGATGACACTCTCGGGTTCTTTGGGTTTCCCATCCACTATCAAACCTGCCAGTAAAATCGGTAGAAAATAAAGATGTCATCTAGGTGGACATTTCTTGCATTTATACTAAACAGCCATCCAGGAGGTAGTCGTAGCAATGCATTTACAGCAACATGACTATATCTGCGTAAATACATATGTCTATATGTAGATTGGGTCCTACTTGTAATGTTTGAACATCAGATTACAAACTGTGACACCCACGTTATTCAAGTGGTCGCGATAGACACGTAGATATGGGTAGGTACTGGCTGGGTACTTGGGTGTGCACAACTGTGATCCCCCATACTAGTTTGTGCAGTTGCAGGGGCGAGTGTAGCATTGCATATGCATGGATGTGTGTAGGCGTATCCATATAGACACTATTATCATTCTCAATCACTGTGTGTCTTCCTATACAAGAATAGCGACATGATCCTACTGATGCGAACCCATTGGCCCAATAGGCCGGTGCATAGGTGTTTCTTTAGGTAGAAATATCATGTTTATCGCCGACACTGAAGCAACATTCAAACTCCGTCGATGGTACCGTAGTCCTTTGACTACGTGCAGCATACACACGGTATACAAAAGCGTTTGCAAACCTGCCATGATAGGTACATCTCTGATTCATATATACAAGAGCAGCACAATTCACATATGAATAACATTACCTACGTGTATATGTCCGACGTATCTCGGTATCGCAGTGTGTACGTGATCTTTAATTCTGAAAGGACGGTGAGCATACCCAACCCTCTATACATGCTACATGCTGATATTCATTGCAGAACAATCACATCATCCAAATACCATGTAACCAAGGTGGTGGTGCATACTATGTATCCATGGTGACGGTGTTTTCGTGATATATACTAATCGTATACATACCTTTTTCTGCATACATGTAAGTATAGTACCGACCTAGGTTAAGACAACACCTAGGCGACGCACACACCCCACACATACCTTGGTACTGTGGCGGCATGTGCATTTTGTTATCGCTCAAGTACTTTAGGAACTTCTTCACAAAGGTCTTCCGGTGCGGACCCTCCACCATCAGGAACTTGTGCACCAGTGTGCCCGCCATCTGTTCCTGGGCCACGTACATGAAGTTCTATTCACAGCCACCACCAACATTGTAATGAGGAGGGGATCAGTACATACTGCGAAAAGATAGCATAAGAGTCAGACTTCTATCTATCTATCTATCATACCACCGCCGTATGAACACATGGTACTTAGAGTAAGTACGGCTTCTACCGGGATGTATCAGGCAGAGTATATATTCGATACGTGACAGTCACAGATACATGACAGTCACACCTCCATACAGACAGGGTTGTTATCGCAAATTGTCAGCTGCTCGACACCTACTTGGGACACACTCTGCCTACATCTGAGAATATATCTTGACAGATGGGTGTGAAATACGTATACAAAAGGACATACACCATCTGTAACTGAGAATATATCTTGACAGATGGATGTGAAATACGTATATAAAAGGACAAGCACCATCTGTAACTGAGAGTATATCTTGACGGATGGGCGTGAAATACGTATATAAAAGGACAAACACCATCTGTAACTGAGAATATATCTTGACGAATGGGCGTGAAATACGTATATAAAAGGACAAACACCATCTGTAACTGAATATATCTTGACGGATGGGCGTGAAATACGTATACCTTCCCATATACACCATCTATAACTGATAATATATTCGACACATGAAAGGTCTGCACACCTCCATAAACACAGGATGTTTGTTGGCCACGTTGATGAACGTGTTCGCCTCTGCAATCTCCTCCAGGGTACGAGACACGTACCTGTATAATAGGTCAGGAAAATGGGATCAGTTTGGTAGCTGAGCAAACCAAATGAAGCATTCGATGCACTACAGCGAAAGAAAATGCATAAGAATTTTCGTAAAGTTTGCCCGTGACTTAATTGGCCTCCAATCAACTCCAGCAATTTAACTGGCATGTGTACGTCCCTTCTCGATTGATATAGGGCCAAGTACGTGTGCAAGGCTTTGGGATTTCAGGGCAAGTAGAATGGCTCATCGAAAAATTGGCACAGTAAACTCATGGAACAGAGTGCGGCGAAACACCAGTGCATGTGGTGGTGATTGGGGCCAAAAATAATTTCTTCACTAAGGCAGAAAGGCAAGTGATTGTTGCATACTGTAGCAGCATACGAAAAGAGATCTGAGAACGTGACAGACATCGTGAGACATGAGACTCCGCTGCTACTACAGTCATGTACAATTCTGCACGCGTACATTTATGGAGGTGAAGAAACTGTATCGTGAATTAGCAGTTCGTTCTGAACTTCTGGTACAAAGTCACATAAAAAATATATATATACGACCAGGTATATATGGCTCTCGTGCGAAACAAACAAAACGATATATATATATATATATATATATATCTATATCTATATCTATATCTATATCTATCTATATATATATATATATATATATATATATATATATATATATACAACAACTAAATAA